TCCTCCGCTTGTGGAGATTTTAATTTAGGGCGATTAATTAAACTGAAATCTGTTCTATCACAATGCACTACAGTGCCTATGGTTATGTCTATATGCATGTCCTCACAAATGTCTAGTGTAACGTTGGATAGGTTCATTGTCATACGGTCCCGACAAGCAGCAACGTACAGTAGTCTTCCAGCCGAAAATAATTACTTTTGATTCAGGTCAGTAATTATAATAGATAACAAGTGAAAGTTGGCCGCGGTATTCCCATGCTATGCATACGAAGTATTGTGCATTATATCAACATATACTCGAGAATAGTTATCCAGCTAAACATGTATGTCAAAATTATCACATCTTCTGGTTTATAAAATTATCACATCTTCGGATTTTGTGCAAGGACAGCTTCGGGTTGCGTTTCGCTAAATGTTTTATGGATATAGAAGCAAGATATTGAACAGTTCAGGTGCCGTACGCTTTATTTTAACTGCTATTTAGATAGAATACTATTGTTGTCGAATTGAATTTGTCCTAAAGCCCGTGCGTACATCATGGGGATGACCCTTCCAAATATTTTTGTGTGTTTTTCTCTAAAATTTTTAGCTCAAATACACTGAAAAATCTCACATAGACAGTAGTCAACTCGAAAGCTTCTTGCTACTTTGACTACTGGGCATAATTTAACTAAGTCATATATTCTATTATAATAAGTAATTTTAACTATATTTGTAATGTTTGTGCGTTCTTGAATTCTTTTATTTTGTGTATACTGTATTGCAAAATCATTAAAAATCTGAAAATCTGAATATAATGCAGACAATTATGTGTGGAAAATGCACATAATGACTTTGTTATAATACATTATAACTATTGTGTTTGTATATCCATACTCTTATTTATCGCTAGATTTATCTTCAAGAAAACAAAAGATATACTTGGCGGCAACATTCGTGCCATGTTGAGCGGGGGCGCACCGTTGTCTGAAGATACCCAGTACTTCATGAATGTGTGCATGTGTTGTCCTGTTATTCAAGGTTATGGTTTGACTGAGACCTGTGGTGGAGGAACAATCTGTAATTGTAAGTTGTGAACACAACGTTGATTAACTTAGAGCCGGCACCGGCTCCGGCAGTCAAAAAATCTGGCTCCGGCAAGAAATTTTTAAGGAAATTCCATATTTAAAAGTGTAAGCAGGCGAAAGTATTTCAGTGTAATTTCAGAATTTATCTTTTTTAAAAACCTTTCTACAACACTATTAATAGTAAACCACATAGTAATATATAGTAAAACAACATATAAATAGTAATATATTAGTAAACAACAACTTAATTTTCCCATTTAATGCCAAATGTTCGTTGAAATATGAAATAATTTTTGCCGGAGTTTTTGCAAGAGTTTTCCAACTCCGGCACTCCGGCGCACATGCAGCTCTAGATTAACTCGTTAGTCATAATTTGTTAGGCCACGTTAGTTTAAGGAGGACACTAGGACAGCGACCAAGAAGCACGTTGGAATAAATGATCGCATGGAAATCTTGTCTTATATTAACTAATAGTTCAGGAGGTTACGACAGGACTTTACCACTTCGACAGTTTTACATACAGGCTTGGAGTGCCATGCAGTGTTGTATACAAGTCTTGAAAATGTGAATTTGAGTCAAAAACTTTTTGTTTTTGCCGGCTTTGTGTTGTTGGATTTGTATATATTAATCACGGCTAAGTTTTCGACGGTGAATGAGCTGATTGGTATATTACTCTAAAAGAGGGCACGTGGATTTAAATAATCAATTGTCTTTTTTGCAACAGTATGGGACAAAACATGTGGTCGTGCTGGAGCTCCAATTGGTTGTACTGAAGTTAAACTGGCAAGTTGGGAGGAAGGTGAGTTTTGTCAAGATTTAATTTTTGCAGTTTTTATTCTCGAAATGGTAATTAGATCATTATGCTAATTAAATTGTTATCTTCTATAAAACTTGAAATTTCTTGTTCAGCACTATTAGGCTACAATGCTTGCAGAATATAATTTTACCCTGACTTGCGAAGGCCATTTCGATCTCTTACTACTCCAAAATGTAATAATTAAAAGTAAGACTGTGAGAAATACGGGTTTAAATACGGCTTTAATAGGTTTGGAAAATCAAGGAAATAACCTGGTTGTTCAATGTATATAGTTTTTGTAATCTCTTTAATAATGCATTTTATGTAATAATTATATACCTTTAAAAACTTGAAATTTTACGTTTTATACAAGATAGCTATTTGAATCTTTAGCATTAATTTTTTGGATGCCTCGATTTATATGATACTGAGTACTAATTGAATCAAGGACTATCACTGCGAAATCTCTTACAGTCCGCATCAAACTTATACAATACTTGACACAGCGACTAAGAGAACGTGTTACCGGGGAAAATGGTACCCTTTCCAAGGGGAAATTATCTGATTATGGTCTGTCCATAACAGATGGCAGGCATGTATGTCGTTTACATTTGGGTAGAAGCAGCCTATAGGATTGACATGGTAATATAATAATCTCTCTGATGATAGCGAGGGTGCGCCAATTATGCAAATCTACAGCCTGCGACTCTATTAATTTTGTCAAGGTGGCTACACTCCGTACGACAAGCCAAATCCAAGAGGCGAAGTAATTTTAGGAGGAGCTAACATCACAATGGGTTATTTTAAAATGCCCGAGAAGACAAAGGAAAGTTTTTATGTGGATAGATATGGTCAACGGTGGTTCCACACTGGTGATATTGGTGAAATGGATACGGACGGTAGTTTGAGGATCATTGGTGAGTAAAATCTCTGATCTTAGAAAATCTGTAACGCTGCCTTAGAAAAGCCTCCCTTTTCTTGTCTATGGGTTCTTGAGGGGAATGACTGGTATGCGGAACTACCAAACTTCCATCCTCCTGACAAACACAACCGTCGGCCAATGGTGACGTTTGTCGATAACAACTGCAGTGGAATCAAAAGTGTACTCGGGGCTCATTTATCAGTATTATAATTTTTCGATTTCCATACAATATTGATGTTGTGAAGTAGTTTGCCCCAGTTTTGAAGAAGTATCTGTAGTCAGCAGCGCACCACACTTTTTAAAAGTAGCTGTAGAGACAGGGTAAAATTTGTTAGCCTCTACCCATCCTTGCAATTTTCTCCTGCATTCAGCATACCTAACATCTTATTCCAGATCGGAAAAAAGACTTGGTGAAACTTCATGCGGGCGAGTACGTTGCTTTGGGAAAGGTTGAATCTGTGTTATCTCGCTGTTCTCTCGTGGAAAGTGTCTGTGTGTACGCTGATGCAGGAACGACGTACGTTGTCGCACTAATAGTACCACGTGCTAAGGAAATGGCTGCCTTGGCTAAATCTCTTAACCTCAATCCAAATGACATGGAAGCTTTATGCGAGAATCCTACTATTGTCAACAAAGTAATGCAATTAATTGAAACTACTGGAAAGAGCGGTAAGTATAAAAAAACCTCTTACATGCTTTCGTGATTTCTTGGCGTTAGAATTAATTTGTTGGAAGTTTCATACATTGATGTAAATATGTATGATGACGCCAACATTACAAGCTGCAACAATTTGCACTGCACAAAAAGACAAATGACACTTTTTTGGACATGAACGTTTGTTATTTGTTTACGGCAATCGGGTTTAACATCATATATTTTTACTTTTCCTGGATATATGTTTCCGCTCGCATGGTTTAGTGAAAATAAGTGAATGAATGCGATGCCCGGTCGAAATGCATTCACGAACCAACCGTTTCGAATAAAAATGGCGACACATCAGGCTTTGAATAGAAATGACGGTAACTACCTGCCACAAGATATTACGTTGTTTTGTTAAAGTTCAAGAAAACTGAATTGCGTATAACTTTATATATTTGTTTGAAGTTAAATCTATATATATCGACCGGACTTTGTATTCGTTTACTTAAACCAGATTAGTACATGAGCGAAAAACATGCTTTTTTAACTTGCTCCAATTCTCCTTCTCTGATCATAGACAATCCAGAAGACAAGGTCGAATATAATATGACGTAGCGGGCGAGCAAATATGGAAAATGGAGAGTGCGGATAATAGACATTATAAATATGCCCAAAAAATCCGTTTAATTTTTCTTTTCAAAGGTATTAAATCATGGGCTTTAGGACCAATTCAATTTGACAACAATAGTATTCTATCTAAATAGCAGCTAAAATAAAGTGTACGACACCTGAACTGTTCAATATCTTGCTTGAAGTGCTTCTAAATCCATAAAACATTTACGTATTATGCAAATACTGTATATTTTCAAAATCCGCCATATTCATTTACATTAGAACCCAAGCTTTCGCGGTTCACACGAAATATTTGAAATATTACGTCGGTGATTTTCACTAATAATATTAATAAGAGGGTAGGATCAAAGTGGACGTTGTCACTCGCTAACCTAGCCCTGCATGGCAGGCGGTCCCTAAAATCGGGCAAGCCTGGGAAAGACCGCCTGCTGGGTTTGGCAGTGTAATTTGATAACCGCCCACTTTTTGTCCGGGTCCAATTAGCCAATCAGCAAACACTAAATATATTAATCAAATCAAACTGTCAATCACTCAAACTATGTTATTGTTTGGTCGCAAAATTGCAAATATAAAATATGTCGAAAGAAATGCCATTGAAAGTTTCAATCAGGACCTCTGGATAACGACAAGAGGTAGAAAAGCAAGCGCGGAAAATGTCATGCAGGCTATCACTAACCCATGCCTGCCATGCAGGCTATCGCTAACCCAATTAGCTGTTTGGGTTCTGTACCACGTGACCTGTTCAAAGCGTTCTGAGCGTGAGGAATCTTATGACATCATAACGGCCTCGATAAAATATTTTGAGGACACGTTTGTGCCATATTAGGAAATTGGGGAGACGTTTGTGCCATATATGGAAGCATGGTTTCCTCGCGCTTCGAACGATTGAACAATTGGATGATCCTACCCTCTTATTATTAGTGAAAATCAGCGACGTAGTATTTCGTGTGAACCGCGAAAGCTTGGGTTCTAATGTAAATAAATATGGCGGATTTTGAAAATATACAGTATTTGCGTAAATACATAATACGTAAATGTTTTATGGATTTAGACGGTACTTCAAGCAAGATATTGAACAGTTCAAGTGCCGTACACTTTATTTTAACTGCTATTTAGATAGAATACTATTGTTGTCAAATTTAATTGTTCAGAAGTAATATAGTCAGTTTTACATTCTGTTCAGAATTTCGCTCTTCAAAACTTCGCTATTCAGTTTTAAACAATAGTGTTATTAGAAATTCTGTGTTGGCTCCAATGTCAACAACTTTCTTTCTCGCCGTCCTTCGCGCTCTACGTCATGTTATTTGCAGTATAGTGGATCAGAGAAACTAGAGAGAGATTTGAACAAACTTAGAACTTTAGTGCGACGCCTTCTGCCTTGTTTCTGACAATATAGGATGCATGGTTTACAATTGAAAGTTTCTATATGATGTAAACTTTAACCGCAGAGATTATGCATGAAAAGGAAATTATATTTTTAAAAGAGGTTTCACATGCTTTGATCGGAGTAATATACTGTTCAGTCAAAGACGCATTGAGAGCGCAGTTGTTTGAACATTTATTTATTTTGAATTTTTTAAATAACCACTTTTTTCAAAACGTTTTTAGAAAAGCTTGAGAAGTTCGAAATGCCGAAGAAGATAAAACTGTGTAAAGAAGCCTGGACGCCTGAAACGGACCTTGTTACTCAATCTCTCAAACTGAAACGACGAAACATTGCGACATTTTACGCCCAGAGTATAAGAGCAATGTATACCTAAATATATAAAATACTAAACCGGAACACAATGTAATTAACCAAATAATAACCTCTGTATCAAAATTGCTATAATAATAAACATTTGTGCATTTGAAGACAGTAAAATTATTGATCTTATGCAATGCAACCACCTTTTACTTTACGATATGAAAGTATTCGCTCGTATATCAGTTGTTATCGTTATTATTATTATACTAGGCAAATTCAAGAATTGCATCATAGGCTGATAGGCAACTTTGAACACGGTGATTCACAATGCTCGATGCGGACATATAAGCAGAGCCTGGACTGCTGTGTTCATACTCGCGATGAAATTCGTCTTGCTTATTAAAAGCCACCCCAAGAGAAGAAATATGGTCTGTCAAATTCTTAATTGCTTGACATAAGATTTTGTATAAAGAATACTGTCAACATACTGTGATTTCACATAAAATTTGTTTTACCCTGGTGGCTTGTGTAGTTGTGTGTCTTTTTGCGTGGCGCACGATGGCGTAGCACAACAAAGCGCCTGGGTACGAGGCAATCAATATCAATCAATCAATACAAATTTATTTACACACGGTAAAATCTTCAGTACATAGATAATCTAACTATTATAAGAGTAATAAGACAGTTATAAATTGCAAACACACATCAATTATAAAAAATCTAAAAATTATCCTCTACTGATTTACAAGATTGCAGTGTGGGAGTTCACTTACATTATTATAATACTTATCTACAGCTTTCTTAGATAGTGGGAATGATTGAAGCTTTCGTATATCTTGAGGAAGGCTGTTCGCCTGTTCCACAAGTAAGCACCACTATAACAAAAGCTTCGTTTTAAGTAATTTGTTCGTGGCTTGGGCAAATTTAATTTCGTCTCAGAATTTCTTAAATTGTACCCTGTGTCACGAACTGAAAAAAAAGTCTTGTGTAGATATGACGGTATATTCCCTTTGAGAGTCTTAAAGATTAGGCCAGCCTTAAGTTTTTTGCGTCTTAAGAAAAGGCGATCCAAGTGTTAGGCCTGTTTCAAACGTCGCGCTTCTCATGTGCCGAACCATTCTCGTACCCATAGCCCTTCTCAAGCCGGTTTTCCACAGCCTAGTCCCTAGGCCTCTTAGTACGCCTATTTCGCGTTTCTGGTGACGGCTCCTCGCGCGTTTCGCTCGGTGACGTCACGGAAATCAAAAGCGTGCACAGAGGACTTGGGACTAGTCTCGGTTTTCCACTAGCGATTTTTTTCGCGCGAAGCGAATTTTTATTGTTAAAATTGAAAAAAATTTATTAAAAATCTAATTAGTTCCAGCCGAGAGCTTATAAGACAAAAGATTCGCGCGACAAATTTCGCTAGTGGAAAACCGGCTTTACGCGCGGTCAACGGCGCGCGACGAGAGGCTCTGGCAAAATCCAAACCGGATACCATAAAAACATGTTATCCGGTTAAACACTGCGCATGCTCAATTACATGAATAATACTGGTGATATCGAGCATGTAATTGAGATGCGCAGTGTTTAACCGGATACCATGTTTTTATGGTATCCGGTTTGGATTTTGCCAGAGCCCCTCGTCACGCTCCGTTTACCGCGCGTAAGAAGGGCTCTGGGTACGAGAATGGTGTCGAACCCATTTAAAACAACAATCTTGTTCCCCGAGCCTGCGATCCTCGGGAAGGAATGTGAGGCTCTGCGATAATCCGTTTCAGGGAGGAATCGGATTGGTCGTTGATATGGAATGCACAGTTCAATCTGGCTATCAGCTCATATTCGACTCGAGTTCGTAGAATAACTGTTAATTATTATATACACAAGGTCCGGATATGAGGTATTCTGCAATCTGATTGGTTCTCTACTAGCAGGATATTAGCTCATATCCTGCTAGGTCCATTAATTAAGAGGACCCTGAAGGGGTAAAATGGGAACTGGGATTGATCTATTTTTAGACTGGGAAAATGGGATTTGGGTTGCTGGGACTGGGATTTGGCCACTAGGAATGGGAAATGAAGTCCTCAAAAATGGGAATGGGATTGAGGTAATGTGAGTCGATTCCCAATTTTTCTGCGTTTTGAGTATTTTAAAATACAATTTTGATCCGTTTTTGGTGTCTTTGGTCATGACTTTTGTTGTTAACTATATTATTCGCAGCATCACCTGCGAACAGGCATACTCTGGCGCCCGGAATTCTGGGTTTTCTGATTATGCGTGTCTCAGAATGCTGCAAATGCCATTTCCGGGATTCAAATTAAAAAATTTTCCGTGCCTTCGGCACGAGTCACCCCTAATATTTCATAAAGTGTCTACCACTTGCTTAAAAGGTCTTAAAACTGTTTATTCTACCGATAAATAATGGGGTTTTTATAGACTGGGATTTCAATAACTGGGACTGGGAATTCTAATAAAAATCCAACTGGGACTGGGATTTTGCCAAAACTTCAGGTGGGAAATGGGATTGGGACCCCCCCCCCCTTCAGGACCCTCAATTAAGTCGCCGTGGAAGTAAATCATGATCACTGACTCGCAATATTACCAGAAAAAAAGACCTTTATATTAATATCGAGCCAGAAAAAGGCAGAATGTAAGTCTTCACGGAGGAAAAGTAAGCGAAGTTATATGAAAAGTACCGCGGCATATTAGATATCTTACTCTCGATGCAATGAAGTAAAATATTGTATGAATTCATTTCCTCAAGTTGATCAACTCGTACGAATTCAAATTTCTTTTTATTTCTTGTGCGTTTCCTATTGGTCAATCGGTTCTGAAACGAAATCTAATTGGCTCATCTAAAAGTAACAGGAAGTTGATCAATTTTCTATCAAATGAATTGATCAACTTGAGGAAAGGAATTGGTGCAATATTTTATCAACACTTTCATTGCATCGACAGTAAGGAATTATCGACGTTACATTTTGTTTAGGTTCAAGCGATTATTATAAATTGCTTGCCGGCATTCCCTGAAAAAATAGTAAAAAAATAAACAAACGTAGGTGATATCTAAAGATTTTTATACGCTGAATCAAACGGTGCATGTATTTTTGTTCTTGTTGAGTGCATGGACCCGGAGTTAATACGGTGTATACTGTACAAACTGTGTAAGGCATGCATTGATTGATTGATAACTTTATTAATGTGTCATGTCTTATAGCAAAAGAATCAAGCTTTCAAAATATCCGTACGTTTTCCTAAACAATGGGCTTATGGGCATCAAGCCATTTATACAATAATGGTAGTATTATACCCCCCATATGGGATCGGAAGTGACGTGTAGGGCGGGAAAATGAAGTCATGCGTGCGTACGCGTGCGTACGTGTGGAGGTAGTATCCCCCATCTGGGAGTAAATTCTCCGCCAAAAATGACGTCATGCTTGCGTACGCGTGCGTACGGAGAGAGTATAAAGGAATGTAAATGGCGAAAGAATTTTTTATTATTGAGCAGGAAGATGAATTGTTTACATGGGAAACCTGCGGTATATTCTACAACAAGCAATGGAACATTTTGGTTTTGTGGTCAGAATTCATCTTGCAATTTTATTTGTGCGGAGAATGAATGTTACATGTTCGAGAAAGCTATAATGGCATGGAGATGTACAGAGCAGCCGCATCCGCGATGTCGTGAGCATAATAAGTTGGCGAAGATGTGTGTGGTGAAGGATCTAATGAAGGAGAGTTACGGGAGACCATTTTTCGTTTGTGGGGAGAAGGGGAAGAAGTGTTCTTTTTGGATGTGGGGCGATGTGTATCCGATAGCGAAGCCAGAGTGTCATCATGGATTACCGTGTGTGATCCGAAAGGTGAAGAAGGAGGGACTGAATAAAGATCGTGTGTTCTTCTGTTGCCCGAATGACAAGGAGTGTACGTGCCGATTCTTTGAGTGGGCCCCTGATGAACAAGTGGGATTCTTTCAGACTGTGAACTTTAGTGAAGAACCGTTAGAGAATAAGGAAAAGAACAATTATTTGGCAACCGAATTTATAAACAGTTTGGCAAATGAGTTAAAGTTGTAAGAGATAATGTTAAATGTTTTTATGAAATATTGTATTTGGTTTTTTACATGAATAAAAATGTTTTACTTGTTGCAATGAAAGTGATTCTGAGTGAATTTAGGGAAGGGAAAGGGAAAAGTTCGTAACGGTTACAGAAAAAACTGTACGTTTAGGTTTATAGTTAATGGAACGTTTTCAGTGTGTTTGTAAAATTTTCAAAGTGAATAAAGTATTAAAGTGTTTTTTCACTTGTGGATTTTTATTATAAAGTTTGGGGGGCAAGTGACACGGGGTCTATTGTGTGTTTTGCACTGGTGTATGATGGACGTAAGGTTTAAGACCCCTGCGAATTATTTTATTTGTGGTCAAACACAGAGTGGAAAGTCCTATTTGACGCGGCGTACATTGCAGAATGCGGAGGAATTGTTTGAATCCGTGCCGACAAAAATAATATACTGCTATGGGGAATATCAAAAGGAATTCGAGGAATTATCGCCTTGTATTGAAATGATAGAGGGTTTTCTCGATGACATAGGAGTTTAACAAGAGGTCATGAAAATTCGCTTATTGTGCTGGATGATTTAATGTCCCAGTGTTCTAGTGATCAGCGTGCCGTGGACCTGTTTACCCGTGGATCCCATCATATGGGTATTTCGGTATTGTATTTGACACAGAATCTGTTTCCTCCGGGGAAATTATCGCGTACGATTAGTTTGAATTCCCATTATATGTTGATTTTCCGGAATCCCCGCGATTCATTGGGTGTTACAACATTGGCTAGACAAATGTTTCCGAGGTGCACGGATTATTTGCTGGAGGCATTTGGTGATGCAACGAGTAGACCCTATTATTATTATTATTATTATTATTATTATTTAAACATATTTATCCACGGTAACCTTTCAGTTGCCTGTTTTTCAAAGGGCCGTGGTCTAAAACTATTAAAAAGATATAAAACTAAATCTAAACCTAAAGTATAACACACTAACATTAATTCAAATTGAAGTATAACATGCAAACGACCTTACAATGCAAGTAAACATTCGATAAAATTTCGGGAAAATTTCGCTATCTTAGCAATTTTAATAAGCCTTTTGAACTGATTCAATGAAAGATGCTCATGTTCCTCGAGAATTTCGTTTGGAAGTTTATTCCATGACACTGCTGCGCGGTAGGAAAAACTTTTCTTAAGGAAGTTAGTGTTTGGTT